CTTGACTAAAAGAGTATTCAAGAATATGTCACGTGATTTATCTACAAATTCTATCAATATATAAATATCATAACACGTTATTTGCTATCATAAAGGGTATTTTAAACTGACCTCACACAAAGTTCAATTTTAGAATCTATATTAAAAGCGAAGTGAACAAAAGATAGTGCTCCCAATTTAATATTCTTTTTAGGAAAAAAAGCATTTGAAATCTAACGAACTATTATTGAGGTTGATTAGAGTAATGAAGCATTAAAGTAACTCTCTTTAAGGTTTCAAAGAAACTATACTTTTTATAAATAGGATAAGCGTTTCACGTGATTTTCCCACTCTTCATTCGTTTCTCCCCTTCGTTACCATGGTAGCGGAAAATCTTATTTTCCCCAAACGACAGTATGTTTCAGTAAAGTAATACTGTTTTAGTAAGTTCATACTGGCGAAGGGTGAAAAGTGATGAAATTCCCTAACGTTCAGACACCTCCGTTCTAACGTTCGATTTACAAAGTGTATAACAACAAACTGCCTTACATTTCTGTTACTGTTCTCTAACTAAAATTTACAGTTGTGGGGGAAAGCAAACTTCTATCCGAAGAATATTATTTAATCTATTTTTCTATAATCGACTACACGAATGTTCCACCACATTTTTACAAAAATTCTAAGTTATCCACTAATTTGTGATACCTATTGAGAAAACCTTTTTAAGTTCATTAGCTGCGGAGTTCACTATGGATAAACCAAGAGTGAATATTATGAAAAACCCTGCATTATATACGGACATTCTGATAATTCCGCGACATGGAAACAGTAGAGCGCGCTCCAAATTATTTCAACTTTCAAGACGAAACAATTGTATGATTACAGACCTTTGGAACAATCCATTTCATAATCTCTCCCTCGTCTCTCAGTTTGTTATTTTCAACCAATTTTTAATAAATATTTCAAAAATTTTTGAATCATTAAACAAATTTGAACAAAAGATTTTACTTTTTGGGGAAAAGGAAAAAATAGTTTATTTGTAATAGTTTGTACAATTAGCTTAACTTAATTTAAATGAGATATTCAGCAAAATTAAACATTAAGTTTATGAATAACAAATTGAATTTAGTTGTTGTGTTGTGCCTTCGAAATCAATCAGAACATTATAATAATTATAAAGAAATAAAAAAATACTTGCTTCAAATTCTCTATCTTACTTTAAAAGTTTTAATTGAATTTATTCTCACATTAGAGGCGTAAATATGCATAAATTATCCTAAAGGACATTTATAATTTGAACTTATGAAGATATTTAATGTTTAGTTTTGTAGTTCCCTAGTGATTGAAAGATACTAATGAATTTTAAAAGTGATAAATCCTATTTTATTATTTAAAGGAAATATATCATTTCAGAAATTGGCTTTGTCCATACGAAACCAGAATTAATTAATAACTGTATCAGACAGATTCAGCCATTGTTTGAATAAAAGGTTACCTTCTAGAAGCAACATAGCTATTGTGACAGTCATATTCAGTACACACAACAGTTACTAATCGAGTTTTGGATCTATTATTTAATGGAATCTATTATTTAAAGTTACTGATCTAGTTAAGGATCTTTTATTGAAAGGGATCTATTATTTACATTTTAGATCTATTATTTAAAGGAAATATCTCATTTCAGATATTGGCTTTGTCCCAATTGTTGGCTTCGTACACGCACCATTTTCTGATGTAGTTTTAGATCTATGATTGAAAGGAATTTATTATTTAAATTTTGGATCTATTATTTAAAAATACTGATCTAGTTTTGGATCTATTATTTAAAAGAAACTAAGTTATAGATATAATATTTAAAGGAATCTATTCAAGTTTTGTATCTATTATTTAGAGTTACTGAGCTAGTTTTGGATCTTTTATTTAAAGGAATTTATTATTTAAGTTTTGGATCTATTTAAATATACTTATCTAGTTTCGGTTCTATTATTTAAAAGAATTTATTACTTAAGTTCTGGATCTATTATTTAAAATCACTGATCTAGTTTTGGATCTATTATTTAAGTTTTAGATATATTATTTAAATGAATCTATTATTCAAGTCTTGGATCTATTATTTAAAGAAATTTATTATTTAAATTCTGGACCTATTATTTAAAGGATCTATTATTTAAAAATACTGACCTAGTTCTGGATCTTTTATTTAAATGAACTATTATTTAAAGTTACTGACCTAGTTTTGAATAATTTATTTAAAGGAATCGATTATTTAAGTTTTAGATATATATTTTAAAGGAATCGATTATTTAAGTTTTAGATATATATTTTAAAGGAATCCATTCAAGTTTTGGATCTATTATTAAATGAACTATTATATAAAGTTACTGACCTAGTTTTGAATAATTTATTTAAGGGAATTTTAGATATACTAGTGGGCTGCTCCCCCTGCTCGTTTACGCTCGCCAACCCCTGAAAATTGCTACGCAATCGTATATGGTTTGCTTCGCAAACCAAGATCGCTTCGCTCGCTACTAACTTAGGTACATTGCAAATGCACAAAATTCTAAGAATTCAAAACAATCATTCAAATCCATATAAAAACTTTTTTAAAAAAAGAAAGAATTAGTATTATAGGAAAACGTTTCTCCATATAACTTAAAATCATAATGGTCTGACATCGTTTTCCATTATTGTCGGCGCATTCTTATTGGCCGGAAAATCACGTGGTAGGATCCAGTTTTCCCCCATTCATTTCCATATTGTTTAGGTTGTCATCAGCAGATCACACTTGGTGAGAATGCTCTCTCTGGTTACTTCAGTTTCCGTTTTTAAAAGCGCTATATGTTGAGCCACCTCAGGTAAATTTGGCATGTGACATTTTTAGCAGCAATCATTGGTCGATTTTCTAGCGTTGCCATTCGGGGAGTTGTAATGAGGCTTTTTTTGTAGCCGTGTAAGAGAAATATATATAGATTATTTAATGGAAATATCTTATTTCAGAAATCGGTTTTGTCCCAATTGTTGGCTTTGTGCAAGCAACATTTACTGATCTAGTTTTGGATGTATTACTTAAAGAAATTTATTATTTAAGTTTTGGATCGATTATTTAAAGCATTCTATTATTTTAGTTTAAGAAATATCACATTTCAGAAATTTACTTTGTCCATATGAAACCAGAATTAATGATTAACTGTATCAGACAGATTTAACCATTGTTTGAAAGAAAGGCAACCCTCCAGAAGCAATGTCCCTTTTGGGACAGTCATTTTCAGTACGACCAACAGTTACTGATCTTGTTTAATCCATAGGCTGAAACATTTACTGATCTAGTCTGATTCACAGCAGCTACTGATCTAGATCAATTAGTTACAGATCTAGTTTACCCTTTTCTAAACAAAATAAACTAGTCGAACATTTTTAACTATCGGCAACTATTGTAAACTCACTGTCAATATGGAGCGTGCTCCACTAATTACTTGTTACGAAACTCGCTCATTATTTCTAAGAAGAGGTTATTCGTTGAAGACTTTTTTTTTTAACTATGTCTTTTAACATGTAGATTTGGATAATTAAAAAACACAAATGATAACTAAAAGTGCATTTTATACATTGTTTCCCTTTTGAGTTACTTTAAATGTTAAAATATTCGTATTTAATGAAAATAGAATAAATATATAACTTTCATTCTCATATATATCCACTGGTAATCTTCTAGATTAAAATAGTTAGAAAAATGTAAGCTCATTTTGGCACACAGAATTTGAAAGTTTTCAAAAGCATTTTTTACAGCTAATAATATTTAGTAACTAATACTCACTAGACATCAAACCTTAAATATTAAAGAGTTTGACAAACTTGAGTTACAAATATATTTATGCTTTTTATGTGGATAAACAATATATTTTAGGAAACAAAAGAAATATTTACAACAATGACTACTAGTACATAAATTACAATGTAATAAATATGTGTTTACAATTAATTGTTGCATTAACTTTTCAAAATTTTTATTTTGCAAAAAATTATAATTTATAGTCAAAGATAATTAGATCATCAAAATTAGAATTAACAAAATTAGAATCAACGAAATTTACTTAAATTAGTGATCTATAGTTTTTAATGGCCTTAATTAGAATTAATTGTAAATTATAAAACTAAAGCAAAAAAATATGAATAAATTATTAAATAAATTAACGTTTAAAAATATTAAAATCTCAATTATCACATTTATGTAATCGTTACCTCATGTTTGGAACTCAGGTTTAACTAATAAGGAAGATATAGCCAAAACGTCTCTTGCAAATCAAGCTGAATTTGTTTTTTTAAATTTTCATTTAAGAAATAGCAAATTCATATAAAAATTATCGAAAATAAAAATTTATCAGAAAAAAAAATTAAAGAATCATTGATATTCTACTGAACGTGCCATCAGGAATATTGTTGACAGAAACACTATTTTTAAACGATTTCTTGGTCGAAATTTAATCCAACAAATAAATTGGAGATCAAGGAGAAATTACGGTTTATGCCCATGAAAGCTGCTTCTGAGGGGAGGGGGATGAATTTGCGTGAGGACATTAACAGTTACACACATACCCCCAGCAAGGTCTCTCTTATCTGCGTAATAACTCTCGTGTGAACCGATTTTCCCTGGTATTAAACTGTCAAAACATCGCCAATAGTGATTTTTGGCGAAAAATGGGCATAAACCGTTTTTTTCCCTGCAGAGTTATTTAAAAGTCTTAGAATGCATTACTCATAAAATAAAATTATTTTTCTTTTTAATTTCTTTTTCTTTAATTAATTTTTTTTATTTATTTTATCGCCCGCGAAAACTTATATCAAGTTTCTGATGGAGGAAAAAATTTCAAATTAAAGTAAGCTTTTACCTTTCTTCTGCAAAACCAGTAGTGTTTGATAACGCATTCAAAACAAAAATTGTAGTTTCTAGGAATGTATAGCTTAATAAGTGCTTCGAAATAGAGAAAAAAAAATTTAAAAAAATTATTTACTAGACCGTTTTCTAATTTAGCAATCAAGTTCAGAAAAAAAAATCCTGCATGATTGGCAAGTGACATCTTTGAGTACCTTCTTTGTAAGAAAGTATATCTTTATAGAACATGAAGGTTATCGCATGATTTCGATCTCCCACTTTTCCCTAACAACCTGTTGATAATGCCTCTTTTTCTCAAACTGGAACGTAACGACCCTTTTACGCTGCCAACGCCTTTCTTGAACGGCGATGATGTTGGCGGAGATGCTTTAAATTGGCGTGCACTTGCTTCTTCTTTTTGGTGACTCTTCAATCGAATTTGGCTTACCATGCCAACCAAAAGTTCATCAACATTGTGGTTGATAGCAGCTGAAGTTTCAATGAATTTGCATTCGTAAGAGCAAGCTATAGATTTCCCCTCTAGAAAAGAAAAAAAAAAGTTAGATAATATTTCGAAATTTAGAACAAGGTATTTTCGATTATAGGGATATAGCTCAATATACAGACATAGGTATTCCGTAATGACCGCCCTTAATATAAATTTTTAGAATCCTTGCAACACATGAAGTCAAAAAGTGCATTAAGGATCGAACAATTTAATAAACAAATAACAATTCTAACAAAATCTTGCGTATGACTAGCATTAGAACCAGTATAAATATCGGTAGGAAAATAGAGTTGAAAGAAAATTATTATTCAAACTTCATCAGGCTATCACACTCTTCTTTCTTGGTTACGCCTCACTTTCCTTATTGGTGATTTGTTAGATTTCGAAACATTTTTGTCTCTCCTTTGCTTGTTTTTTTTTCTCAACAGAAAAACAGTTTCTCAAACAGAAAAGATATTTTATTTCTCTCATCTTAACAGACAAACATTTTTGTCCGAAATTTTCCTATTCATTCAGTGAATTATTTTTGCGTATTTGTTTTTATTCATTTCATTTATTAAATTGTGTTTTCTTGAATTTAGTTATCATATTTTAAATTTTAATGCTAGAAGTACTTTTAAAACTTTAACTTTGAAAAACGTCAAACTTTGAAAAAAATTTGAAATTAATCCATTTTAAGTCCTTTATAATGGATTAACCCTCTAAGTCCCAGCTTTTTCCGAACTTTCAAATTCATGCTTTCCTGCATCAGGTAAAGGATTTTTTCTGTTATTGAATAGAAAAAACTACATAAAAGGAAAATTCTGCTCTGTTCTGAATAGAAAAAATTTCTGTCTCTGTGCTCTGTTTCTCAAGGGCTTAGGGATACTAAAACAAGAAAATATTCAAAACGTTAATTAGTTTCTGAATAAATATGGATAAGGTTGGTTGAATGAACTTTTTAAATTTTTGATTCGATATGTTTTTCGTCGGAAATTTGACAGTTTTCATATTTTTCGCATCACCTATATCAGGGATGGCGAACCTTTATACACCAACGTGCCATTTTCTCTAAAAAATTGCTTAATGAGGTCATAGACGTGCCGTCAAATAATTTTGACTTCGTGATTATTGGGAAAATAATAATACTAAATACTATCAACTCAAAACTCTTTATTTACAGTGAGAAAAAATACATTTTGCAATATGTCAGTTATACGCGTAATTCAACTTTCAAGTAACATTAGTGTGACTTCTGTAGTTGCAGATTAGATGACCAATAACTTATATTAGGTTGTAAGATGTTCGTTTAAGCAGGACTGTTAATTTTTTTTGCTAGTTATTTATTGTTAGCTTGTTTTTTATGGTTATTAATTGTTTTTTTAGCATTAATTTTTAATTTTTTTATTTATATTGTTTATTATTTTGCTTATTTTTTGTGAATTTTAATTCAATTGTTACATATGCTTCATAGTTTAACAATAATTGTGATCGGTGGAGAGCCCAAAATATTGTGCCGCGTGCCAGAAATGGCACGCGTGCCATTGGTTCGCCATCCCTGACCTATATGCTGATACTATTATAGTAGAAATGTATATTAAAAAAAATTGCTTTCCAATAAACTTTAATTTATTCTTTGTATGAAAATTATTTTTAGTAAACAAATATGTCAAATCATATTCAAACATTTAAATTCGGTCACTCTAGAATGAATCGAAATAGTCCGTAAATTCATATATTAACTCCTACATTTTTTCGGATTGTTTTCTTCCGTACTTTTTTGACGTCGCTCTGATGTTTCATCCATATAAAAAAATTTAGAAGGAAAATAAACTAACGAAGCATATCTATCAATATGAGAATCTTATTAAAACAGAAGAGGAGTATATTTACCTTCAACAGCTATTTCCCTTGTCCTGGCTAAATCAGATTTATTTCCCACTAAAATGACGGCCTTACTATAGGTCAACCCTCTTTCTCGAAGGCTGAAAAGGATATCGACAGCTTTCTCGAAACTCGCCCTGTCAGTTACGGAGTAGGCAACAATATAGGCATCAGCCTCTTCTGTCATCGCTTCCAGTACCTTAAACAGGTTGAAAGGAAAGCATTTGTTAAATAATGGTCATTTATTAATTAAATGATCACACGCGACTGACTCTGGGTTTAAACATTTTTATTTGTAATCTGCTGCTGAATTAAATTCTGAGTTGCAATGTATGGTTTAATTATTTTAATGCGTATACGCTTAACTTTTTGTCTCAAAATATGTGGTTGATTATTTTAATGTGGTATACGTTTAAGTTTTTGTCTCAAAATATGTGGTTAATTATTTTGATTTGTAATCGGTGGCTAAGTTTTCTGTTACATATGGTTTATTTATTTTAAAGAAAGCATTCGTAAAATAATGGTCATTTATTAATTAAATGATCACACGTGACTGACGCAGGGTTTAAATATGCTTATTTGTGATCTGCTGTTGAATTAACTTCTGAGTTGCAATGTGTGGTTTAATTATTTTAATACGTTATTCGTTTAACTTTTTGTCTAAAAATATGAGATTAATTATTTTTGTTTGTTAATGATTTGTAATCAGTGTTTAAGTTTTGTGTTGTTAGGTATGGTTTATTTATTTTAATTCGTAATACATGCTTTAATTGACTTTTTGGTNTGGGTAGACTCGCCCCGGTTTACGGTATACGTTTAACTATTTGTCTCAAAATATGAGATTAATTATTCATATTGTTTGTTAATGATTTGTAATCAGTGTTTAAGTTTTGTGTTGTTAGGTATGGTTTATTTATTTTAATTCGTAATACATGCTTTAATTGACTTTTTGTCTCAACATATGAGAATTGAATATTTTGATTTCTAATATTAGATTTCATTGATTTGTGTGAGACATATGTTTCAATCAATTTCATCTTTAATACTTTATTATACTTAATTAAATATATAAGTTAAATTAAAATGATAAATATTTTTAATACTTTATTAAATTTACTTTTACATTTTTATATAGTAATATATGATTTAATTTTTGATTTGCAATACGTAATATAAATTACTTTAATGTTGTATTCTTAAATTTCCTGATAAACTACACATATATTTATTGAATTAAATTATGTTTAAGGTTTGCATAGTTAAAACAAAGTTTGCATAATTATGAAAACCACATCGAAATTTATCTTCAACTGTCGAAGATCTTAATCCCATAACTCATATTTTTATCACTAACGGCGAAAAAAAAATATGTATAATTAAATAAAAGTATTTCTTTTGCTTTCGAATATACGACATATTTGATGGAACAACGCCCATGCAACTTCCATTTATCAGATTATCTCTTAATCCTCTGCTGCTAATTTTTATTTTTAGAATTTTTGCGAAAAATGCATCCATTGGGACTGAGGTCCTTAACCTCCAAATCACAACTGAAACTTTGTATCGCTGAAACCAAAGCTTTTTCGAGAATAAAATTTATATTATAAAAATATTTTGCATTCAAATTTTTTCCTTCACATTAAATTTTATAAGATGCAAATCTGCGTTTTCTTTCTTCTACTATTTATTTAGAGATATTTTTGTGTGAAAAAAATTTTGTAACTTGGTCGAAGTAGAGCGGTATCACGATGAAACACTATAAGAAATAGCACCACAGTGTCAGCAATTATTTTCGCTATAAATTTTTATACAGTGTTTATAAGCAATATACACCGAAGAGCCATTACATTAAGACCACCCTCCACCTATAATAATGGGCTCGCCCAGGTTTTCATGGTTTCTCACCCAGGAACAATGTTTTCATGGACCCATAATCCTCATAGAACAATCCCTGACGTCTGTAAGCTACTTGAACATAGTTGCAAACCAGATTCACCCATTCATGGTAACAGCTCTTCCTGTGGGGGATGGTGTTTACCAACAGGTTAATGCAGCATGTCACAAGGGTCGAATCGTCATGGATTGGTTCGAGGAACATTCCAGTGACTTGTCTCCCAAATTCACCTGACCTTAATCCAATAGAGCATTTGTGGTCCTACTTGGAAAACCAAATTCGTGCTGCCACGCTACCCGCTCGCAATGTGAGGGAATTGCAGGACCAGTTGGTGAGCGCTTGGTACCAGATACCTCAGACTACCTATCAGTACCTTCTGGAATCAATGCCACGGTGGATTCTAGCAGTTTTGAGGGCTAAAGGTGGTCCTACATGTTATTAGCAGGGAGGTCATAATGTAATGGCTCTTCGGTGTACATCAGCAATGCTAATAGCTTTTGCTGTAAAACGCATAGGAATTTTTTTACAGAGTTTATAAACCAATTATAACTTCGTGATCTTTAATTTTTAAAATCTTTAGTTTCCATTAAAATTTAATTGGTGTACCTCGTAGAAAATTTTAAAAATAATTGCGCGTCTCCTTCATTTACGTCAGCACAAACAGATTAAAAAGAAACCATGCAATCATAGAACAGTCACTATTATCAGTTTTGAAGCATTAAAATCGTATTTTAACGTAATAAAACGTATTTTAATATATTCTATTGAAAAACCAGCTAAAACAGAATGCGTTTAGAATTGTCAGTATACGTTTTCTTAATTCTGCATACTAAAATATTTTCTCGTTCAACAAGTGGAATAACTATTAGCTTTGTAGACAGAAATAGAAATTTTCTTTTCTTTCCTTCGACAGGAAATTAAGACCTTTTAAAAGGAAAAATAATGGGATGTCTTAGAAGAGTTGAAATCTTTCATTTCGTTCTTACAGTTATTTAAATTACATTTCAAGAGATTTTAGAAATAGTTTTGTCAAATTAGATTACTTTTGGTGCTTATTCTTTTTATTTATAAAATTTATTTTGTAAAAGCATAATTATTTTTACCGTTTTAGAAGGACAGTGGACTTTTTAATGTCTTAAAAATAAACCTTTTTTTCAACTTTTTAATTATTTATTTTATGTAGGGGAGAATGTTGGACCTTAGACTTCATGTACCTTATATCTTAATTATTTGATCACTGATTGGCTATTTATACATGTGTCGGTGACTGTTTTTAGACTTCATGTACCTTGCATCTGAATTATTTGAGCATTGATCGGCTATAATGTGTTGGCGACTGTTTTTAGACTTTATGTACCTTGCATCTGAATTATTTGAGCACTGATCGGCTATAGAGACATGTGTTGGCGACTGTTTTTCGATCCCATGCTTATTCGTCTCCATATAAAATAGATTGTCCCCATATCTGACTATTCATTAGTCTCTATATCCGACGCATAGTTGTATCAAATATAAATGAGAATTTTTTAATAGCAGCAGACGATTTTTATTTTCGTTGTCATGGTAACAATAGAACTAAGAGTCTAAATAGCAGTTAGGTAGTTCGTTGTTACGTCCTTTTTATAAGTAGCTTTAATCATGAGTGAACGCAATGTTTCTAATCCACAACCCATACTAATTAAATTATTTAGTGTTAAACATATTGAAATTGTACGCAGATTACAGTTTGGCAAAATAATTTCCAGACAAAGGCACAATTTATTGTCTTATTATATTTTAGTATTGGAAAAAATTTTGCCTTCGTAGAGTACTTTTTGAGGGAACTAACCCGCGTTTGAGTTACATGAAGAGGAAAACCACAAAAACCTTCCATAGCAAGGGAACTCTTATCAATGATCCATCTACCTCTGAGGATATTTAACGTCAGAACTGTGGCCAGTGCGAGCTGGATATGGAGCTCGTATCGACCAGCCATCGTTTGGATGCGAACTCTTTCACCTCATTCGGAGGAGAGTGCTCTATCATCTGAGCCACCACGACTCAAATGCTTTTTATTTTTATTTTATATAGTTTCTGAGTTTGCAGTGCCATAAATTGCGGGTAATTTCTTAGTTATTTTGAAACTTTGAAAGATGGCACGCCTTATGAGGAGAACGCAGTCAACCATACGTTTCAATCTCTTTTCATTATTTTTACAAACATATAATGATTTTTAAAAAACCCTATACATCTGGCATCCATGGTTATGTATATTTATAGTAATGAAAACTATAAGTTCGCAACTGTATTATTTTGGTGAAAACACATTTGATAAACTCCGTAAATTAAAATTTATTTCAGTCTTTGAAATATGCAGTTTTCTGAAAGATATAGTTTAATAGTTAAAAATAAAAAAATATTTATGAAAGATCTCTTTACCATGTTATCCAGAGGCAACGGATCATCAAAAAATATAAGCTCATATTCAATACCATCCAAGAGAACTGATACACATTTCTCTAAATCTTCATCTGCAATAAAAAGGAAATGAAAAACATGTTATAACGTATTTCAAATTGCTTAAAATGACGTTAATATCAAAAAAATTTTTTACAGATGTCATCTAAGAGATAAAAAGAGTTTTCTTTTATTTACTCAAGAATGGTAATTATTTTCTTTTTTATAATTTCCTTACATTCTCTTTTACACAAATAATTTATTTGCATAATAGAAATACTGCACACAAAAAATAAGAGAAAGAAATTGCTTTATAAAATCAGAATAACAAAAGTAACAAAAGTGAATAAATCGGCGGTTTATGTAAATTTTTTTTGGATTTAATTAAACTTTATACTATTCTTCTTCTAATCGAATTTTAATAATATTTTTGATACTAAGTTATTAAGTTATCTACATAAACTCTGGAAATCTTGAAATTCTAACCTGCCCTACAAGGCATGCTTGGTTATATTACGATTATTGCATTTTAATGAAAACACTGTATGTAATCTATAGGAAAAAAGTTTTGAGATAGGGAAAATAGTATAGTTAAAATACTAATATGCTTACATTAACTTTATAATGATAGTGTTGATNTGGTGACTGTTTATAGACTTTATGTACCTTGTATCTTAATTATTTGAGCACTGATCGATTATAGAGACATGTGTTGGTGACTGTTTATAGACTTTATGTACCTTGTATCTTAATTATTTGAGCACTGATCGACTATAGAGACATGTGTTAGAGACTGTTTTCAGACCCCATGCTTATTACTGCGCATATCCGATAGACAGTCCCCATATCAGACTGTTCATTACTCTCTATATTCCATAAGTATGTATAGTTGTATCAAATATATAGGAGCCTTTTTTTTAATAGCAGCAAGCGATTTTTATTTTCGTTGTCATGTCAGTAATAGAACTTTACCTAGAGTACAAATGGCTGTTTAGTTGTTCATTGTACGTTCTTTTTATAGGTAGCTTGAATCATGAGTGAGCATAGTGTTTTTAATGCGTAACTCATACTAATTAAATCATCTAACTCATGTCAAACATATTGAAATTTTACGTAGATTACAGTTTGGCAATAACACCCTGTCAAAGGTACAATTTATTATTTTGTCTCATGCTCGTCGACCCAGAACGTATGTAAATGTTTTAAAAATCCATTGTTTAAAACGAGTTTATATGTTTATTACTTTTTTCCAACCGTCGTTGAACGGCAGACTCAATTTTGGGTTTAATCTGCCAATGTTGAACTCCGTAGCTTTGTAATTCTGAAGCCAATCCTGAAGACAAGGGAATTCCTGGATCACGTATTGGGAGAAATTTTGCCTTCACGGCGGACTTTTTGAAGGAACTAACCCGCGTTTACGGTACATGAAGAGGAAAACCACAAAAACCCTCCACGGTTAGCTTCACAGCAACGGAACCTCTAATCAATGATCCATATACCTCTGAGGATATTTAACGTCAGCACTGTGGTCGGTTCGAGCTGGGTATGGAGCTCGTATCGACCAGCCATCGTTTGGATGTGAACTCGCTTCATCTCATTCGGAGGAGAGTGCTCTATCATCTGAGCCACCACGACTCAAATGTTTTTATTTTATTTTATATAAGTTTTTCTGAGTTTGCAGCTCCATAAATTGTGGATAATTTCTAAGTTATTTTGAAACTTTGAATGATGGCACGCTTTATGAGGAGTACACAGTCAACCATACGTTTCAATCTCTTTTCATTATTTTTAAAAACATATTATGATTTTTAGAAAACTCCATACATCTGTCATCCATGGTTATCTATATTTATAGTAATGAAAACTATACGTTCGTAACTGTATTATTTTGGTAAAAACACATTTGATAAACTCCGTAAAATAAAATTCATTTCAGTCTTTGAAATATGTAGTTTTCTGAAATATATAGTTTAATAGTTAAAAATGAAAAATATTCATGAAAGATCTCTTTACCATGTTATCCAGAGGCAACGGATCATCAAAAAATATAAGCTCATATTCAATACCATCCAAGAGAACTGATACACATTTCTCTAAATCTTCATCTGCAATAAAAAGGAAATGAAAAACATGATGTGTTTCAAATTGCTTAAAATGACATCAATATGAAAAAAAGTTCTACAGATGTCATCTGAGAGATAAAAAGAGTTTTCTTTTATTTATTCAAGAATGGTAATTATTTTCAATTTTCTCGCATTCTCTTTTATACAAATAATATACTGGTATAATAAAAATACTGCACACAAAAAATAAAGAAATTGCTTTATAAAATCAGAATAACAAAAGTGAATAAATCAGTATATGTAAATTTTTTTTGGATTTGATTAAACTTTATACTATTATTCTTCTAATCCAATTTTAATAATGTTTTTGATACTAAGTTATTGTTAAGTTAACTACATAAACTCGGGAAATCTTGAAATTCTAACCTGCCCTACAAGGCATGTTTGGTTATATTACGATTATTGCATTTTAATGAAAACACTATATGTAATCTATAGGAAAAATGTTTTGAGATAGGGAAAATAGTATAGTCAAAATACTAATATGCTTACATTAACGTTATAATGATAGTTTTGATGGTATAGGCAGAGATTATTTAAAAAAAACACTATATCATCAAAATTTGCCTTGAAAAAGCGTTATAAACCTAAATATTAATTATTTCTCTATACGCAAAGTTTGTTTTAAACTTAATACTTAAAAATAACGTAAAAAAATAAACCTGAAAAGCGGAATAAAAAAAGAATGATCTAACTTTACTTTAATTTTATATTCAGTATTTTAATGTATTTCTGACTGAATATTTATATGCTCGTAAGGATATAAATGTCCAATCGGAATTCAAAAATATAAAATATTCAAAAATTGTAACTACGTAGGACAGTATAACTACGCATTTTGATCTTGAAACTTATTATACACAAGTTTCTTTTTATTTAAATTTAGAATGACAGTTTTACAAATTCTTGCACTCAAAAAGAAAAAAGAAAAAAACAGAGCAAAAATTTGTCAAATTTGCTCCAAAACAAATAATAGTGGAATTTTTTTCATCGGCTGTTCAACCGTCGTTGAACAGCCGACCCAATTTGATCTGTTTACGACTACTAATGTTCAACCCCGTGGCTCACAACGTAGTGGAATTTAAGAAAATCCTGCATTCAAATTTGAAACAGCATATACTGATTTTTGTGCAAAATGCACTCACTCGTCTGAGGTTGAAGGAAAAGTGTGCGAGGCTGCCAGCAGGATTTGAACCAAGGACCTCCGAGATCGAAATAGGATGCTTTATATATAGGAACACTATAGTTTTCACCCTGTCCAGGGAGAGTTAGGAAGTCTGATATAGCGACCGTCACAATGACACATCATGAAAAACTCATTTCCAACTTCACTGGTACAAAGGTTTGCAATTTTAAAAATATGGTCTCAATATCTTAGTGAGGAGATCATTAATTTCAATTTCACTCTTTGTTTATTTCGATATTTCTTAAGAACTTTTAAGCAAGAGGAATGTATGTCATGATGTATCATTTTTATATAGTAAATATTATATGTAAAAGTAAATTTTTAAAAAGGACTTCCGAAAAATGTCTTAAAATTTAAAAAAAATTATGTAAGGAAGAGTTTTCTTGAACTTTATTGTTGTCAATGCGGATTTTTTTTAAAACAAACATATTTTTACGGAACGTTTACTAAAAAATATTCAAACTGAAATAATNAAATCAGAATAACAAAAGTGAATAAATCAGTATATGTAAATTTTTTTTGGATTTGATTAAACTTTATACTATTATTCTTCTAATCCAATTTTAATAATGTTTTTGATACTAAGTTATTGTTAAGTTAACTACATAAACTCGGGAAATCTTGAAATTCTAACCTGCCCTACAAGGCATGTTTGGTTATATTACGATTATTGCATTTTAATGAAAACACTATATGTAATCTATAGGAAAAATGTTTTGAGATAGGGAAAATAGTATAGTCAAAATACTAATATGCTTACATTAACGTTATAATGATAGTTTTGATGGTATAGGCAGAGATTATTTAAAAAAAACACTATATCATCAAAATTTGCCTTGAAAAAGCGTTATAAACCTAAATATTAATTATTTCTCTATACGCAAAGTTTGTTTTAAACTTAATACTTAAAAATAACGTAAAAAAATAAACCTGAAAAGCGGAATAAAAAAAGAATGATCTAACTTTACTTTAATTTTATATTCAGTATTTTAATGTATTTCTGACTGAATATTTATATGCTCGTAAGGATATAAATGTCCAATCGGAATTCAAAAATATAAAATATTCAAAAATTGTAACTACGTAGGACAGTATAACTACGCATTTTGATCTTGAAACTTATTATACACAAGTTTCTTTTTATTTAAATTTAGAATGACAGTTTTACAAATTCTTGCACTCAAAAAGAAAAAAGAAAAAAACAGAGCAAAAATTTGTCAAATTTGCTCCAAAACAAATAATAGTGGAATTTTTTTTATCGGCTGTTCAACCGTCGTTGAATAGCCAACCTAATTTGATCTGTTTACGACTACTAATGTTCAACTCCGTGGCTCACAACATAGCGGAATTTAAGAAAATCCTGCATTCAAATGTGAAACAGCATATACTGATTTTTGTGCAAAATGCACTCACTCGTGTGAGGTTGAAGGAAAAGTGTGCGAGGCTGCCAGCAGGATTTGAACCAAGGACCTCCGAGATCGAAATAGGATGCTTTATATATAGGAACACTATAGTTTTCACCCTGTCCAGGGAGAGTTAGGAAGTCTGATATAGCGACCGTCACAATGACACATCATGAAAAACTAATTTCCAACTTCACTGGTTTGCAATTTGAAAAATATGGTCTCAATATCTTAGTGAGGAGATCATTAATTTCAATTTCACTCTGTGTTTATTTCGCTATTTCTAAAGAACTTTTAAGCAAGAGAAATGTATGTCATAATGTATCATTTTTATATAGTAAATATTATATATAAAAGTAAATTTTTAAAAAAGACTTCCGAAAATTGTCTTAAAATTTAAAAAAATTATGTAAGGTTTCTTGAACTTTGTTTAAAAAAAATCCGCATTGACAACATTAAACATATTTTTACGGAACGTTTACTAAAAGATATTCAAACTGAAATAATTTCTTTCGACACCGAAATTAACAAGCCAAATATATATTTTTTCATATTAAAGAGTAGCGTTTACTAAAATATAAATAGCATATAAATAGCTAGGCGAAAATAAAATCGTTTTTCAAATTCTCCGAATCACTAATGAGGAATATGGGATAAGAAAAGGTCAAAAGCAGTTTGATTGTCTGATATTAAGTGTTTCAATTTATCGCCTTTCAAATCCTCTCTGTCCCTTCCTGTGCATAAAAAATGATACATCCAGGGTTGCATTTATCGGTTATAATATGATGGATTGCCTTAGCGTTTCGATCTGTCTTAGAAAATGAATAATCCATGTGCAAACTTTGTTTACTACAATGATTCTAAGGTAAGTAAATCCGACAAATCAAATTAATAATTAACTATTTCCAAAACTGAAAAAAGAAAGCACATAAAAATTTCGCTCAAATATAAACAATTAATAAGATTAATATCATTAAAAATTCATAGTATTTGAAGCAATTTCATTTAATTAATTAAAACTCTCTTTTATTTTCATCTCTCTAATTAGTTTATACAGTAGTTGATAATCTTACTTTTACTTTTTAGTAATTAGCGTCAATCTCTTTATAATTAAATGAAAATAGCAAGATTAAAATTTCTGAAAAATTAAATTATGATACCCTTGAAAATAATTTTTGTTATTTATTTACAAGTTATTTACAACTGTCTTTTTATTAATCAGGTGCATTAAGCGTAAAATAAATTATTTTTTACTAAAGGAAATGTTAAATTTAAAGATTTTAAATGGATTCTTAAAAGAGTTAAAAGAATTTAAGCTGGTCAAGTTGGAAATATAAGAACTTTCAATAAAACAGCATCGAAGTGTGAAATAAAATTTTTAAATATGACCGTTAATTAATTTCAGAATACTTTTCGTAATTCATTTCTTTTTTTTGTTTTAATTATTCCTTAGTTTATTAATTTTTAATCTTTGAAAAGACATTTTATCTACTATTCGTGGTACAGATCACTGGTTAAAGATGCTTCTTTAGAACCTTTACAGCCAGATTTACCTTCCATTTTCAATGAGGTCTTTGCAGAGTGCAAAAAAATGTTTATGGACCTCTGGAGGGTTCCTCCTCCGCATAATTGGTATTTCAGAAAACGACCTGGAAGTGCCTTGCTTTTTGGGGGACCTAGAAGCCAGAAGACTTGTTTGTCTCGCTTTGCAAGTGGTCACTTGGGGTGTCTCTCGTATGTTCAGGGGCAAAAGACTTTTGGACTTTGTACTAAATGTAAGACTGCTCAGGCTTCACCCGAGCATATTCTGAACTGCATCGATTTTAAGATCGACGAGGTTTTTTCAAAACCTCATCTGTTTTTAGACTTTCTGGACATTTTTGGACTTATGGAATTGGTCTAATTAGGATGGACCTCTTGGGGATTAGAAACAACATCTACTATTCGTGCTTATTCTCTAATTGTTAAGACCCATTGTTTCAGACCAATATTTGTCAAAACATATTCTAATAATAAAGTACCAATTTTTGATTAGCACAAATGTACTGTTTCTGACCAGTGTTTTTGACCACATATTGATGAAACATAGTCTCCATTATCATAGGGTACTATACTCGGGGCAAAACTAACCATAAAGCATTATTTATACTATTTGTTATAAACCGCCATAAAAGAATAATTAGCATTAATATTGTTTAAAATTTCATTTGAAAAAGATGATTAGATAGAGCTATCTATTTTTTTCAATTTCTACTCTTAGTTCACACTCTTCCTATATCTTGTTCAAATTTTCAATCGTTAATAAAATACTTTTTATTCATCCACTCAAATTCAAATAAAAAATTTTGAACTTCTAGTGGAGGACTCTTGATGTTAATACAGTCTTTTCAAAT